CATGGGCGGCTCGGAAGCTCTTTGCCTGGATGAGCTCCTGCCTGTGGTGCCATTGGACCCGAGTATCCCCTTCAACATCGGCACGATCAATGGCAACACTTGGGGTGCGACACAGGATGTGCTACGATGGTGGCGAGGCAAGACCTCCCTACCTCACGTGGTGCTGGTGCAGGAGACGAGGCTCATGCCCGACCACCTGGTCCGGCCGGCTCACCAGTGGTGCCGAGGAGGCGCCTTCTCGCTAGCGGTGGGGATGCCACTCAGGCAGTCCAACTACATCCAAGCGGTATCGGGGGGAGTAGCGATCATGACATCCCAGGCGATCGGAGCCAAGCAGGTGGTGGACATCCCAGCCCAGTGGCAGCATCGGATCATCTTCAGGCAGCTGAACCTGGGCCCATGCTCGGCTGTGGTGGTCGGATCGGTCTACCTGGCGCACAGCGTCGACATAGTGGACGACAATGATGAGCTGCAGGCGCCGCCCCGCCCGTTCACCTTGGGGGGGGGACTGGAATGTTTCGCTAGAGGGGTGGCTGGAGAGCGGGTTCTTGGAGGACGCGGCTGCGGTGGCCATAACAACAGGAACCCTAACCTGCCATGGAAGCGAGTGAGATTTCTTCGTGTGCTCCCAGGTGCTCGCGACTTCCAAGCATGAAATGAAGGCTCTGGAGGGAGCCCCTCAGGGCCCGCGCACGCCTGTGACCGTGGAGTTCGAAGGCCTACGGCACAGGCCCTACGCGTGGGAGCAGGTGGGGCCCAAGGCTTTCCCTCGGAAGATCTCCGAGGCAGATGGAGATGCACCGCCTCGAGAATTCTCGGCGGTGCCCTGCCCCTGTAAGACAGAGGGCGAGAACGAGGGGGCCAGCTTCGACGACGAGATCAAGCAGTGGTACCAGGTGGTGGAACGGCAGGCCTGCAAAATCTTCGACATCCCGAGTGACAGGCACAGGGGCTACTGCGGGGGGGCTAAATGCCTCGAGGGGCGCGAGGCAGCCATGCTCGACGAGGTGCAGAAGCTCAAGACCTACGCCGACACGTCCGACACGATGGCGTGGAGGTCTCTTTCCAGGAAGTGGAAGAGGCTGCGTGGCTGGGCGCAAGGCCAGCATGGGGGCAGAGACAACAGGCCTGACAATGGCGGTCTGGCGTCCCAAGGAGCAGTTCAGTGAGCAGTACCGCCGAGGTATTGAGGCGAAGCTGCAGGCGCTCGAGCTACCAGATCCCATCACGCCCACGGAGGTTCTGGAGACGAAGAATGTGTTCAGGTGGCTGGAGGTGGGCAGGAGCAACCCTGCGCGCTACCGCCAGCCGCTCGAGCTGATCGAGGGCGAGATAGCGGCCAGGTCGAGCAAATAGGCGCCGGCCAAGTACCAGTACTGGAAGGCATTCTGCACGAAGGCGCTCGACGGCAACTGCAAGATAGCCTGCGCGGTCATCGAGCCTCGGCTTCGAGAGAACACTCCAGTACTTCGGGGGGGGCTACCAATGGCGGGCGGCAGTGAGGCAGCAGAGCAGATCCCGGGGGACTGGAACGTGCTCTGTGAGGCGGAGTCCAGGCAGAACGATCCGCGCCCCTCGACCTGGCTGGCAGAGTGGAAGCCGAACCCCATTCTGGTGGAGGACTCACTGGGGGTGCCGCCGTCCTTCCCGAGCAAGACGGCGCTGGGCTGGGACTCCTTTTCCCCCTCGCTCTTCGAGAAGATGCCCAAGGTAATCATCCAGCGAGCTGTAGACATCCTCGACGGCTGGGGGCAGCAGCCAGGTGTCGCCCGTGCCGTTGATTATCGATGCTTTCTTGCCGAAACCGACGGGCGGCACGCGCCCGATTGGCCCGATGTGCACGCTGGCGCGCATTTGGGGCAGGATCCGCCAGCGCGCGGTCAGAAAATGGGAAAAGGAGATTGATGCATCATGTTTCTCGGGGAAGGATGCGGCGACAGAAGCATGCAGAGCCAGCTGCATACACAACCTACTCATGTGTCATGTCAGAGCTAAAGGCTTGACATCAGCCATCGCGTTCTACGATGCCGCTAAGTTCTACGAAAACATCGCGCACGAACAGTTACGCATATCGGCTACGCACTGCTCGTTCGACGTAGGCCTGCGTCGTGCGCTGTGCGTGCTCTACAGGTGTCCTCGGCGCGCTCGTTGGGGGGCCTCCCTCAATGGCCCCGCGGGGGCCAACTGTGCCATCGTGGCAGGATGCAGCTGTGCGACGGGGATTTCCAAATTGATGGTGCTGGCGCTGCTCAGGGACATTGCCGCCTCCACCCCCCCCTGCCGCAGCATAAACCTCGCAGATGACCTCGCCTCGCACGTCGTAGGCGGGCCCCCCACCTCGGTCAGGCACTCCGCCCAGGCCCGCAGGAAGGTCACCCAGTACATGGCCCAGGTCCACCTCCCAATCAACTGGAGCAAGACCAGGTTCATGACCTCCAGCCCTGAGGCCCTGCAGGCGCTCACCGAGGACCCCAACTGGGACCTGAGCTTGGGCCGGCATGCGGATGCTCATAGGGATCTTGGAGGTGACTCAAACAATGCGAAACATCGAAGGCCCCCCACGGTGCTCCAGAAGGCTTCCGAGGCCAAGAAGATTGTCAGCGAGCTAGCGCGCCTGGGAACGGGGGCTGCCGTGTCAAGGGTTCTCAGAACGGGACCTCTGGCAAAGGTCATCTGGAGATCGTCGGTCAGCGGCCTCGCGGACGCGGCCATCAAGAAGCTGAGAGTTCAAGCAGCCAACGCAGCTGGGCCCCTACATCCAGGATGTGCGCTAGGTTTCCGTTTCCGGCTCGACCCTTTCCTTGCCTGGAAGGATCCGCTCGAGGTCGCCACTGTCCAAGTGGCCAAGGACTTCGCGTGTGTGTGTGTGTGATCTGGAATCGTCAGGTGTCTTGGGCTGGATCCAGGCAAGCTGCCAGGACGGCCAAGAGGTGCTCCGTTCTCGCAGTCGTTGGCTCAAAGTGAAGCAGCACCCCGCAGTGGCGTTGATGGCCAGCCTCGGCAGGATAGGCTGGGGTTTCGACTTCAATGGCAAGGCGTTGGTTGATGACTTGGGTCGTTCTTGGTCTATCCTGAGATTTTCGCCACAGCTTTTTGCAGGGCAGGTCCGAGAAGGCGCCAGGAGGTTCACGGCCAGGGACGAGCAGACCAGGCATAATGACTTTCAAGCGAGGAAGGGAGACATCTTTTGGTGGCCGATCAAGAAGCTGCTGAGCCAAACCTCTACCGATACGTGGCATGGGCATCACAAACAGACCTTGAAAGGAGTGGTCTCCAACAGCTACTGGGCACAGACCAGAATGGCTTTGCATGCAGGGGACATCGGCACGACGTGCAGATTATGCCAAGGAGCTCGAGGGTCGTTATACCACAGGGGATTCTGCTGCCCATCGCACGAAGCTTGGAGGCGCGATCATCTTGGACGCAACCTTCGGCAAGCGGCCAGAAAAATGAAAGGGATGTCTGGGGAGGCTGAAGAGCTATTCTCGCGCGGGATATTTCCTGACTCCAATGCATGGTTCGGCCGACCCCGCCGAGGTCCCATTGGGTCCTGCATGCAGTTGGTCGACTGGCCCAAGGATGGGATTCTCATTGTCAGGAGCTGCTGGACGGTGTTCACGGACGGGTCGTGCGAACTACCCAAGGCTACATGTGGCAGGCTGGTCGGCCTGCATAATCAATGAGAATGGCAACCTGCTCCACACTTTATACGGGGTGGTCCCACTGGCGGAAGCCCCCGACCAGAGCTCCATGGACGGCGAGGACTTCGCGGTCAGGCAGTTGGGGCTCCGTGCAGTGTGGGAGGCAGGACTTGAAGTGCAAGTGGACTGCAAGGCTGCGGCGTCAGTGGCAAACAAGCTCACCTTCTCAACGGACGAGAACCAGATGAGATGTCCCGGGTTGTCGGAGGTTTCGGAGGCCCAGGGAAATACTCGGTTCGTCCAGGTCGATGCCCACCAGTCCGAGAAGGCAGTCCAGGAGGGCCTCATCAACCACCAGCAAAGACAAGGACATGCCCATGCTGACCGCCTAGCTAAGTTAGGAGCTGAGTCCTTTAGAGCCTCGCAGGCCCAGCTGTTAGTGATCGAAGGATGTGCTTCTCTCGCCCGTGAGGCTGCTAGGTTTGCGCCCTCCCAGCAGGTGAGGATCAGTGCGGGCCAAGTGGCCGATCATGACGGGCTGGCTAGAGTGGCTTACCGCAGTTCCCCTCGAGGCCATCCCTGGGCCCCCCCATCCCTGGTGCCAGGCAGCGTTCTGGAGGAGCCCCTGGGCCCAGGTCTGGGGAAAAGGTGCCTCTGGGGAAGGCCCACCTCCCGCTCCTGGGGACACTGGGGGGGGGAGGCTTCGGAGGTTTGGGCTTTCTAAGGGGCACAGGCTGTGATGGGCGGAAGTCCGAAACGGTCGGGAGCACAAGCTCACCGACACTCTCTTGATCGGTTCGACGTGCGGAGCCTATGCCAGGGGGCACGCGCAAGAAGCCGTCCAAGGGGGGTATCCACGCCCCTTGTGTGATGGCAGGCCGGGCAGGGGCCACTGCAAGCACGTACGTTTCCGAGATATGGGGGCAGCCGGGTCATTCGTAACGTGCCCCCCACCCTCGCTCAGCGTCCGTCAGGAGTGGTCCAAGGCCCTGGCTTCCCCGTCGGACGTCCCTGCCCAGCCCCTGGTCCAGGTTCCTCGGGACACTCAGGGAACCAGGAGCCTGGACGCTGAGCGAGGGCCAGTGGTTTTTCGGGCTCTCGTCGGAGGAGGCGGCCTCGCTGGGTCAGGCCGCGCGAGACGCGAAGGCGACAGCAGCGGTGGCCAAGGCCAGAGGTCTTTAGAGCCCCTGCCCACGACCCCCTCCTTGGTCTCTGCTTTCTAATATGATTTCAAAGAGTTGGGGTCGTTCCCCCTTTTCCTTGCATGTCATGGGGTCGCCCCCCGTAACAGCTTAAATCTGGACCTCCTCCTGCCTATCCTCCTTAGTATCCTCCTCCTCCTCTTTCTGGGGAGGGCGCTGGTGGCGTCGTCCAGGACCACCATCTTCGGTTTGTGCAGCAAGCAACGCCTCAGCCAACGGGGGCCGGGGGCGTGGGGCGAACGATTGTCAGGTCCGTACCCTGCGCCCGTGCTGGCCTCTTCCTCCTCCTCCTCCTTCTCCTCCTCCTCCTTCTCCTCCTCCTCCTCCTCCACCCTCCTCCTCCTCCTCCACCCTCCTCCTCCTTCTCCTCCTCCTCCTCTTCCTCCTCCTCCTCTTGTTTTTCTTGTTATTGTTGTTGTTATTCTTCTTCTTACTCTTCTTCCTCCTCCTCCTCCTCCTCCTCCTCCTTCTTCTTCCTCCTCCTCCTCCTCGAAGCTCGGCCCTCCCCGCGGAAGGGCTGGTTTTGGGAATCAGCTCCTCTGGCCAGAGAGGCGGCGAAGGCAACCGACCAGGAGCGGGGACGACACGACGGGGAGCAACATGAGGACAAGCAGGGAGAAGGAGCGGAAGCGCGACGAGAAGGAACAGCACGCACGACGTAGGAAGGCGGGAGGAAGGGGGGAGGGGACCCCCCTGCCCAGAAAGGCCAACGCAGCACCCCCGGAGGAGAGAGGGAGAATGCGCAAGAGAGGGGGGGGAGAGGACGGCGGGGGGAGGGGGGGGGGTGCCAAGGCGTTTCGTGGTACGGGGGGGTCCCTTGGTTGGAACCACGGGTGGGCTCCCCTCGCGCCCGCTCCCCCCCCGCTCCTGGCGCCGCTCGGGGGCCCCTCACCTGCTCGAAATCCTCGCTGTTGGTCCGGCTCTGGTCGTGGCCGGGGTGGGTGTCGTCGTCCCTGCCGTCGGTGTGGTCGCGGGGGTGTCGTCGGGTGCGTTGGGATGATGGTGGGGTGGGGCGGGGGGGGTCTTCGCATGGGTGCGTCAAGGTGGCGATCCAGGAGTGGACCCGGCCCGTGCCGCGAGCTGGCCGCCCATGCGGCGGGAAGAGAAACGGGGGGGGGTCGGAGTTGACCGAATGTTCGGCCGGGGTCGTCGCTGCAAGGTGCAGCTGTTCCCTGCCCTCGGTAGCCACCCATCCCTGCGTGAGTGGGTGCCTAGTGGGCCAGCCGTGGTGCGGTCTGTGGCGCGTCGGCGCATCGCACGCGCCGAATAGGAGCTGCCATCGGGAAGGGAGTCGTCGGCTGGGAAGTCGCTGAACTCCAACCTCCATGGGGCTCGGGCGGCGCCCTTGTCGTCGTGGGGGGCCCGGGCGTCGTGGCCGTGGCGTGGTGGCCGTGGCGTCGTGGCCGTCGTGGAGGCCGTCGGCGGCCGTCCAGGTGGCCGCCGCGGCCGTCGGGGCGGGCGGTCGCGGCGGCCGTCGGGGCGCGGGGAGGGGGCGCGTCCACGGAGCGCACCCTCCGCGGCAGGGGAGGGAAGGCTCGTCAGGGAAGGGACGACGGCGGCGGCGGCGGCGACGACGACGACGACGGCGTTGCCCAAAGGATCGTGGGAGTCGCGGTCGTCGCGGACGTCGTTGGCAACGCGCTCCTGCCAGGGAAGTGGCGGGGCGTCGGGCAGGGCGTCGGTGGAACGCGCGTCGTGGGGAGTGGCCAGGTGGTGCGTCGGGCAAGGGGTCGCGGTCGCGGGCGTCAGCTCGACCGTCAGGTGGTCCAGTTCCCAGAGTTCCCCCTCGATGTCGCGAGTCCTCTGCAGCTGTTGCTGCTGGGCCATCTTGGTCTGGCGGCGCTCGTCGTGGAGCTGCTGGAACTGGGAGTCGAGGGAGCTGGCGCGAAGGATGTCGTCGATGTGGGCGATGGCGGCGGTGCTTGCGATGGCGAGGACGCGTTGGGTCCAGCGGGCCTCGAGGTTCCAGAGGGTGGGCGTCATCCACTGGGGGGCCTCTGGTGAGGCGTGCGGTGGGGCGCGGTGGGGCAGGGCGTCACGGGGCACGGGAGGGGCGTGGGGGAGGTCGTCGAGAAAGGTCGTCATCTCTCCTGGAGTCGCGCTGCTCGTCTTGGCCACGCTCAGGCTGCTGCCCAGCGTTGTCGCAGAGGCCGTCGGGCTGGCCGCCGGGTCGGCCGTCGGGTCGCGCCGTCGGGTCGGCGGCGTGGTGGGCCGCGGGACCGGCCGTGGGGTCGGCCGACGGGCCAGGCGAAGGTCTTGGCGGCGTGGCGGCAGTCGATTTGGGCGGCGGGTCGGCCGTGCGCTGCGTCGTCTGGTCGTATCTGGTCGTCGGGCGAGGCGTCGAGTCGGCCGCGGGGTCGGGGGTCGAGCCGTGTGTCTGGTGTGGGTCGCCCATGGCCGTCCGTGTGCGCACCGCTGGCCGCGCAGCCGGAGCAGTGTTCCCGATGGAGAAGTCGGGTGCGTGGTGGTCGTCGGGCGAGGCGTCGGGCAGGGAGCGCGGCGGGGCGCAGGGCTTGGAGCCGGGCAGGGCGTCGGGCGAGACATCGGGCAGAGCGTGCGCAGGGAGGGGCGTCGTTGCGGGGAGGCGTGCCGTCGTGGGGAGTGGCGCGTCGGATCGTCGGTGTCGTTGTCGTGGTCCGGAGTGTCGCGGGGAGAGG